ATTTTATTAATTTTATTAATTTTTATTAATTTTTATTAATTTTTATTAATTTTTATTAATTTTTATTAATTTTTATTAATTTTTATTAATTTTTATTAATTTTTATTAATTTTTATTAATTTTTATTAATTTTTATTAATTTTTATTAATTTTTATTAATTTTTATTAATTTTTATTAATTTTTATTAATTTTTATTAATTTTTATTAATTTTTATTAATTTTTATTAATTTTTATTAATTTTTATTAATTTTTATTAATTTTATTAATTTTTATAAATTTTTATTAATTTTTATTAATTTTTATTAATTTTTATTAATTTTTATTAATTTTTATTAATTTTTATTAATTTTTATTAATTTTTATTAATTTTTATTAATTTTTATTAATTTTTATTAATTTTTAATAATTTTTATTAATTTTTATTAATTTTTATTAATTTTTATTAATTTTTATTAATTTTTATTAATTTTTATTAATTTTTATTAATTTTTATTAATTTTTATTAATTTTTATTAATTTTTATTAATTTTTATTAATTTTTATTAATTTTTATTAATTTTTATTAATTTTTATTAATTTTTATTAATTTTTATTAATTTTTATTAATTTTTATTAATTTTTATTAATTTTTATTAATTTTTATTAATTTTTATTAATTTTTATTAATTTTTATTAATTTTTATTAATTTTTATTAATTTTTATTAATTTTTTATTAATTTTTATTAATTTTTATTAATTTTTATTAATTTTTATTAATTTTTATTAATTTTTATTAATTTTTATTAATTTTTATTAATTTTTATTAATTTTTATTAATTTTTATTAATTTTTATTAATTTTTATTAATTTTTATTAATTTTTATTAATTTTTATTAATTTTTATTAATTTTTATTAATTTTTATTAATTTTTATTAATTTTTATTAATTTTTATTAATTTTTATTAATTTTTATTAATTTTTATTAATTTTTATTAATTTTTATTAATTTTTATTAATTTTTATTAATTTTTATTAATTTTTATTAATTTTTATTAATTTTTATTAATTTTTATTAATTTTTATTAATTTTTATTAATTTTTATTAATTTTTATTAATTTTTATTAATTTTTATTAATTTTTATTAATTTTTATTAATTTTTATTAATTTTTATTAATTTTTATTAATTTTTATTAATTTTTATTAATTTTTATTAATTTTTATTAATTTTTATTAATTTTTATTAATTTTTATTAATTTTTATTAATTTTTATTAATTTTTATTAATTTTTATTAATTTTTTATTAATTTTTATTAATTTTTATTCATTTTTATTAATTTTTATTAATTTTTATTAATTTTTATTAATTTTTATTAATTTTTATTAATTTTTATTAATTTTTATTAATTTTTATTAATTTTTATTAATTTTTATTAATTTTTATTAATTTTTATTAATTTTTATTAATTTTTATTAATTTTTATTAATTTTTATTAATTTTTATTAATTTTTATTAATTTTTATTAATTTTTATTAATTTTTATTAATTTTTATTAATTTTTATTAATTTTTATTAATTTTTATTAATTTTTATTAATTTTTATTAAATTTTATTAAATTTTATTAATTTTTGTTAATTTTTATTAATTTTTACTTAAGGTCAGTCACTATTAGTGCCGCTCTTATTTTGACATCTAAGAATGCGCAGATCGGTTGTTATAAAACTGACTTTATTAAAGATAAAATTATAATTTCTAACGTCTCTTCAATATTATGTACTATTGTGGATAACAAAAAAGATTGTAATTTAAAATTTTTAAAATGATGTTAGAAATATGTATAAAGACAATGACAATGTCAAAATTTCAGGTTTACAATAAGTCTTATTTTAGCATGGAATTTTTTGCCTCTAATTACGTTGTCACTATTAGTGGCTGACGTTATAGAAATTTGCAATATCTCTCTATTTTTTTTTAATTTTGCTACTGTTCGTTAGCAAATTTTATCGAAAAAAAAATATATGCAGGCCCCGGGGCTCGAGTTCCGGATGCCCCTTCCTCCCTGCTAAATTTGACCCTACTAAGCCCCTCCTTCCCAGTATTACATTCGTACCTACAAAAAAGTCAGAAAATGCAAAAAATACGTGTGGCACTCAGGGACTGCCGCGGAAAAGCTATTGCATAGCATTTTTTATCAACTAATGCAATTATATTTGTTTATTTTATTTATGCAGCATTTTTTTTTTCTTTGATATTAATTCAAGTTTTTTCTTAGGTATTAATTCAAGTTACACTTTTTGAGCGTGGTGACCGATAAGGAAACAAATTTTTTTCTTTTATTGAATAAATGAGAAGTTAATATTTAAAATATTTTTATTATCTTACAATACATGTAGGTTATTCAGAAATTTTTATCATTGAAACTATAGGTTTATGGTAACTGAAATAAGAAACAAGTTTGAGACTTGATACCCTCTAAATATCTGGAAAATACCGCGTCAATGGTGGTCCCATATTTTGTTGTGGATTCTTGTGGATCATTATTCATTTTCAAATTCAATTTTTCCGAAATTGTGTTTAAAAGAGATAGAATCAGTTATGAGCAGTTATCAGCTAGTCTACACGCATAGTCTAGTCGCACGCACACAAACACCGTGCCGAAGCCTGCCGAAGTGAAACGACGTTAGACGATGCACGGCTTTCAACGCCGCACCGATGTTCCGGTCGTAGTGAAGGGTGTTAGGTTTATTTTCGTTACGGAATTTCTTTTTCGATTTTTCGAATTTTTGATTTTTCGATTTTTTGATTTTTCGATTTTTCGATTTTTCGATTTTTCGATTTTTCGATTTTTCGATTTTTCGATTTTTCGATTTTTCGATTTTTCGATTTTTCGATTTTTCGATTTTTCGATTTTTCGATTTTTCGATTTTTCGATTTTTCGATTTTTCGATTTTTCGATTTTTCGATTTTTCGATTTTTCGATTTTTCGATTTTTCGATTTTTCGATTTTTCGATTTTTCGATTTTTCGATTTTTCGATTTTTCGATTTTTTTTTATTGAATAAATGAGAAGTTAATATTGTTTAATGCCGCATCGCTGGGCTGGTCAGAGTGGGGGGTGTAGCTTAAAAAAATTGTTTGGTCGTCTTAGCGTATGTGCACCGGCAGGATAACTGGTTTTGAATTTACTACACATTTCTTCAAGCCAAGAAACCTATTGATTTTCCGAACTTTTGGTTTAACTTTAGTGCTTTAAATATCTGTTTTTAAAATACAATGTATTTCTTATGGACCCTATTTTTTATGAACTGCAACACGGTACTCTAGATGTGAAGATTTTAATAGATTGTCATGTTATGTCAACTCTGAAAGCACATTAATTTGTTTCTATATTTCTGTCATTCTTTAATGACAAATATATGATTATGTTTTTTATTAGTATATTATACTTCAAGGAACTGAAGAAAAAATAAGGTGGGAACAGTCAATTTAGCATCTCTCGAATTTTTTTTATATTTTTATACATCCAGATTATGTTATAAATTAGTAATTCTTTTCTTTCTGCAAACCTATTATTTCCAGATGGATGTAAAAAACATTTGGTATTGTTTGCGTTTACATTTTATAATCTATTTTTAGATGAATTTTTTGATATAGTCAAATTTTTAGTTGAAATTTTAGTGGAGGAATTAATAATTTGTTTACCCAATCAAGGAAATGGTGGAGGATTGAATAATAATTATTGCATACAGAGGCGGTTTCTCCACTGGTTCATTTGTGCAGTGAACACCTAGTTAAATTTCATAAGAGCACATTATTTTAAAATCACACATAAATAACTTATCAATATAAATTCACTTTATTATATTTATTAATTTCGCACGTACTACATTTTTTTGGTACCCCCTGCGCTCAGGCCGATCGCGTCTGTCGGTTCAATATGTCTAGTGAACGCGAGAGGTGTCTGAGAATGAATGTTAAAAAGGCAGGTTAACCCTTTCAGTTACCAATGTACATTTTTTATTTTTCGCAAATAAAATAATATATTTTTTCAAATATTTTTGGTGAAATAAATAGTGGATTCGACTCAAATGCTCTTGCTCGATGACAAAGCGCTTTTAGTTCTGAATTGATTTTGGGTAGCATTTTTATAATTCAAATTTATATCTAGCAGTGTACACAGCAAGCACGAGCTAGAATTCGACATTGGTGTAGCGCATCTTTATCGTTATTTGACTGGCACAGTTAGCCCTTGACATTTCAGGTTTCTAACAAAGTTTTAACGATATTTATTTATAGTTGCCAAACCAAAAATTAAATTTCTATTAATTTCAAAGATTTTCCATTCTCACTAATAATAAAAACAAAGATGGCAATATATTTAAATATATTAAATAATTCCTAACCTCCTAAATTACACTGGCACTGGAAAAAAGTACAGTTCCAAAAAATTCGAACTTTGAGCAAGAACGCCTGCCAGTCGAACAAAAATTTCACTATGCCTTGATACCGAGCAATTTGAGTCGAATGCAATAATTGACTTTTAATTCATTAGGTTTTGTCAGTCGAACAGACACCACTCAAAAAAGTCGAACTAAATGCGCATTAATGCAGCCAGTCGAATCCGCTAAAAAATTCATGATTTTCTATCCCTACCCAAATGATTTAATATTCATATTTGTGGACAATGTGACTTTATGACAAGTATTTGTATTTAAACACTATATACTTTTTTAAAGTATTCTCTCATGCCATATAATTGGCAGAGTCTGATAAGTAACATTAGATTTTCACTTATTTTTTTTTGTCAGTTAAGTTGTACTTGTTGCAAAACAAGGTTTTTGTTTTTTTTTTTTCCTTCAAATCAGTTTCTTGGGCTATTTCTTCACCTATTTCTGCACCTATTTCTGCGTTATGGGATTGATTATCTAAATTGTCGGAGTCACCTTTACATATTGTTTCTTAATTTAGCTATCATCTCCCTACTCAGAAAAATCATCTACTATTATACAGACTCACCATCTGCTAGAAACATCTACAAACTTTTTTTATAGGTTAGACCTCGTAGTAAATCGAGATGTGTATTTATCCCACATATTTCATTGATTATAATTGCAAATAAAATATGGCAATATAAAAATCATGATGACGTTTAGTTGCTTTGTCCACGTTTGAGGACATATAAATTTACACTCCAAACTTACGTTTCCAGATACAAAATCTCTTTAAAGTATATAATCACGAATTATTATATTCTTACTTAACAACCTAACAATCCAAGCACTTTTTCATAAAATAATAGGTACTATTCAGTTAAAAATCTGCTGTTCAAATTCAAATGTTTTGGTAACCATATAACACACCAGAACGTTTGCTATTATTTATAAAATGACTAAAATTATTCATTTAAGTAATAGATGTCGAAAATTGAACCATGATCTTTAGGAATAATGCTATTTTGAGTACTTGGTGAAATATAAGCCATAAAACAGAAATATACGGTTGATTGAAAATGGTGTCCACAGGTGTGGACTGTTAAAACCACGCTATTTTTAGCATCATTTTTTGCATCGTACGTAGATTACGTCACGACAGTTAACTTCGCTTGGTCCTACGATTAGTTATTGTGCTTGGTCAAAGATGGTCAAGGTCACTTTGATTTCTGCTTTTTTGGTAGATTTTTGCTTTTTTGGTAGATTTTCAGCTATTTTAGCTAGTTTTAGTAGACAATTTTCTTTTGGTAGATTTTAGTAGATTTCTATAAATTAACAAAAAAAATCCAATTACTCAAATAAAACTTCCTATTTAAATAATTTTGTTGCCAAAATGGATTGATAAAAACGTTAGGGCCGCGCGATCATCAAAATAAATAATCAGTTATTTTCGACTAGTAGATTACTTAAAAATCGATTCTTTTCGATTCTTTTCGATTCTTTTCGATTCTTTTCGATTCTTTTCGATTTTTTCGATTCTTTTCGATTCTTTTCGATTCTTTTCGATTCTTTTCGATTCTTTTCGATTCTTTTCGATTCTTTTCGATTCTTTTCGATTATTTTCGATTCTTTTCGATTCTTTTCGATTCTTTTCGATTCTTTTCGATTCTTTTCGATTCTTTTCGATTCTTTTCGATTCTTTTCGATTCTTTTCGATTCTTTTCGATTCTTTTCGATTCTTTTCGATTCTTTTCGATTCTTTTCGATTCTTTTCGATTCTTTTCGATTCTTTTCGATTTTTCGATTCTTTTTCTTTTCGATTCTTTTCGATTCTTTTCGATTCTTTTCGATTCTTTTCGATTCTTTTCGATTCTTTTCGATTCTTTTCGATTCTTTTCGATTCTTTTCGATTCTTTTCGATTCTTTTCGATTCTTTTCGATTCTTTTCGATTCTTTTCGATTCTTTTCGATTCTTTTCGATTCTTTTCGATTCTTTTCGATTCTTTTCGATTCTTTTCGATTCTTTTCGATTCTTTTCGATTCTTTTCGATTCTTTTCGATTCTTTTCGATTCTTTTCGATTCTTTTCGATTCTTTTCGATTCTTTTCGATTCTTTTCGATTCTTTTTCGATTCTTTTCGATTCTTTTCGATTCTTTTCGATTCTTTTCGATTCTTTTCGATTCTTTTCGATTCTTTTCGATTCTTTTCGATTCTTTTCGATTCTTTTCGATTCTTTTCGATTCTTTTCGATTCTTTTCGATTCTTTTCGATTCTTTTCGATTCTTTTCGATTCTTTTCTTTTCGATTCTTTTCGATTCGATTCTTTTCGATTCTTTTCGATTCTTTTCGATTCTTTTCGATTCTTTTCGATTCTTTTCGATTCTTTTCGATTCTTTTCGATTCTTTTCGATTCTTTTTCTTTTCGATTCTTTTCGATTCTTTTCGATTCTTTTCGATTCTTTTCGATTCTTTTCGATTCTTTTCGATTCTTTTCGATTCTTTTCGATTCTTTTCGATTCTTTTCGATTCTTTTCGATTCTTTTCGATTCTTTTCGATTCTTTTCGATTCTTTTCGATTCTTTTCGATTCGATTTTTCGATTCTTTTCGATTCTTTTCGATTCTTTTCGATTCTTTTCGATTCTTTTCGATTCTTTTCGATTCTTTTCGATTCTTTTCGATTCTTTTCGATTCTTTTCGATTCTTTTCGATTCTTTTTCGATTCTTTTCGATTCTTTTCGATTCTTTTCGATTCTTTTCGATTCTTTTCGATTCTTTTCGATTCTTTTCGATTCTTTTCGATTCTTTTCGATTCTTTTCGATTCTTTTCGATTCTTTTCGATTCTTTTCGATTCTTTTCGATTCTTTTCGATTCTTTTCGATTCTTTTCGATTCTTTTCGATTCTTTTCGATTCTTTTCGATTCTTTTCGATTCTTTTCGATTCTTTTCGATTCTTTTCGATTCTTTTCGATTCTTTTCGATTCTTTTCGATTCTTTTCGATTCTTTTCGATTCTTTTCGATTCTTTTCGATTCTTTTCGATTCTTTTCGATTCTTTTCGATTCTTTTCGATTCTTTTCGATTCTTTTCGATTCTTTTCGATTCTTTTCGATTCTTTTCGATTCTTTTCGATTCTTTTCGATTCTTTTCGATTCTTTTCGATTCTTTTCGATTCTTTTCGATTCTTTTCGATTCTTTTCGATTCTTTTCGATTCTTTTCGATTCTTTTCGATTCTTTTCGATTCTTTTCGATTCTTTTCGATTCTTTTCGATTCTTTTCGATTCTTTTCGATTCTTTTCGATTCTTTTCGATTCTTTTCGATTCTTTTCGATTCTTTTCGATTCTTTTCGATTCTTTTCGATTCTTTTCGATTCTTTCGATTCTTTTCGATTCTTTTCGATTCTTTTCGATTCTTTTCGATTCTTTTCGATTCTTTTCGATTCTTTTCGATTCTTTTCGATTCTTTTCGATTCTTTTCGATTCTTTTCGATTCTTTTCGATTCTTTTCGATTCTTTTCGATTCTTTTCGATTCTTTTCGATTCTTTTCGATTCTTTTCGATTCTTTTCGATTCTTTTCGATTCTTTTCGATTCTTTTCGATTCTTTTCTTTTCGATTCTTTTCGATTCTTTTCGATTCTTTTCGATTCTTTTCGATTCTTTCGATTCTTTTCGATTCTTTTCGATTCTTTTCGATTCTTTTCGATTCTTTTCGATTCTTTTCGATTCTTTTCGATTCTTTTCGATTCTTTTCGATTCTTTTCGATTCTTTTCGATTCTTTTCGATTCTTTTCGATTCTTTTCGATTCTTTTCGATTCTTTTCGATTCTTTTCGATTCTTTTCGATTCTTTTCGATTCTTTTCGATTCTTTTCGATTCTTTTCGATTCTTTTCGATTCTTTTCGATTCTTTTCGATTCTTTTCGATTCTTTTCGATTCTTTTCGATTCTTTTCGATTCTTTTCGATTCTTTTCGATTCTTTTCGATTCTTTTCGATTCTTTTCGATTCTTTTCGATTCTTTTCGATTCTTTTCGATTCTTTTCGATTCTTTTCGATTCTTTTCGATTCTTTTCGATTCTTTTCGATTCTTTTCGATTCTTTTCGATTCTTTTCGATTCTTTTCGATTCTTTTCGATTCTTTTCGATTCTTTTCGATTCTTTTCGATTCTTTTCGATTCTTTTCGATTCTTTTCGATTCTTTTCGATTCTTTTCGATTCTTTTCGATTCTTTTCGATTCTTTTCGATTCTTTTCGATTCTTTTCGATTCTTTTCGATTCTTTTCGATTCTTTTCGATTCTTTTCGATTCTTTTCGATTCTTTTCGATTCTTTTCGATTCTTTTCGATTCTTTTCGATTCTTTTCGATTCTTTTCGATTCTTTTCGATTCTTTTCGATTCTTTTCGATTCTTTTCGATTCTTTTCGATTCTTTTCGATTCTTTTCGATTCTTTTCGATTCTTTTCGATTCTTTTCGATTCTTTTCGATTCTTTTCGATTCTTTTCGATTCTTTTCGATTCTTTTCGATTCTTTTCGATTCTTTTCGATTCTTTTCGATTCTTTTCGATTCTTTTCGATTCTTTTCGATTCTTTTCGATTCTTTTCGATTCTTTTCGATTCTTTTCGATTCTTTTCGATTCTTTTCGATTCTTTTCGATTCTTTTCGATTCTTTTCGATTCTTTTCGATTCTTTTCGATTCTTTTCGATTCTTTTCGATTCTTTTCGATTCTTTTCGATTCTTTTCGATTCTTTTCGATTCTTTTCGATTCTTTTCGATTCTTTTCGATTCTTTTCGATTCTTTTCGATTCTTTTCGATTCTTTTCGATTCTTTTCGATTCTTTTCGATTCTTTTCGATTCTTTTCGATTCTTTTCGATTCTTTTCGATTCTTTTCGATTCTTTTCGATTCTTTTCGATTCTTTTCGATTCTTTTCGATTCTTTTCGATTCTTTTCGATTCTTTTCGATTCTTTTCGATTCTTTTCGATTCTTTTCGATTCTTTTCGATTCTTTTCGATTCTTTTCGATTCTTTTCGATTCTTTTCGATTCTTTTCGATTCTTTTCGATTCTTTTCGATTCTTTTCGATTCTTTTCGATTCTTTTCGATTCTTTTCGATTCTTTTCGATTCTTTTCGATTCTTTTCGATTCTTTTCGATTCTTTTCGATTCTTTTCGATTCTTTTCGATTCTTTTCGATTCTTTTCGATTCTTTTCGATTCTTTTCGATTCTTTTCGATTCTTTTCGATTCTTTTCGATTCTTTTCGATTCTTTTCGATTCTTTTCGATTCTTTTCGATTCTTTTCGATTCTTTTCGATTCTTTTCGATTCTTTTCGATTCTTTTCGATTCTTTTCGATTCTTTTCGATTCTTTTCGATTCTTTTCGATTCTTTTCGATTCTTTTCGATTCTTTTCGATTCTTTTCGATTCTTTTCGATTCTTTTCGATTCTTTTCGATTCTTTTCGATTCTTTTCGATTCTTTTCGATTCTTTTCGATTCTTTTCGATTCTTTTCGATTCTTTTCGATTCTTTTCGATTCTTTTCGATTCTTTTCGATTCTTTTCGATTCTTTTCGATTCTTTTTCGATTCTTTTCGATTCTTTT